TATACTAACAATCCAATAATTCGTATTAATGAACAACTTCATTAATATAAAAATTGACATAAGCTATCAGTGTATAATATTATTAATATAATAAAATAACACTAATACTATAATTCCATAACATCTAAACTCATAGTTTAATTTTTGTTACATAAAGTAGTATCAATATGTATAAGTATAAAATTATCAATGCTTTAAATTTTTATACTTATATAACAAATTCACTTAAATCATCAACGTTTGTCGAAAATAATAAGAAGATTAACAGATGACATACTTATATAACCAATAACTTCTGCATGTAGAAATAGAATTAGTATAAATATCAATTAAACATCAAACACCTAATTTGTTGCTGCAATCAAATTGCCAAAAAAATTTCTTAATTAGACAACACAAACCCACAAATATTAATAAGCAGAGGGGTGTGGTCGGCTTAGGTACCTACTCGATCACCTTTATTGCCCACACGATGCAAAAGGAAACAAAGCATGCTAAATTGCTAATGTTGGTCAATGTTCAAGGGAGTTCCTTTCTGGACCATTGCACTCGGAATTGGTCCATCATTTCTATTTCATTTTAGTTTTCAGTATTTCTAATGTGTCTAAGTATATACAATAAGCCATTTAAAATATATATATATATATATATATATATATAATAAATTGATTAATGATAAGTTTTTATTAAAATATATAACACTTAATATTTTCAATCCATTAAATTATGTACTATCAATTTTATAATTTTTAAATAAAAATTTACTATACCTAAGTTATTATTATGTGTCCTTTAATATGTATTAACAAATTATGTAATATTTTATTATTTTTAATGAAATTTTATCATATGTAAATTTCTTATTATGTGACCTTAAAATAGGTTAGAAAATCCATTCTTATAGTTAAAATAGATATTATTATTTTTATAAAAAATAAAATAGATAAAATACAAATTTTTATCATATATATTTCAACACACGATAAAAATAAATAAATATTAAAATGGAATTATAGTCAATGGAGAAATGTTGGAGCATGTGTAAACGGGAACATCTTTAGCAATTCCTTATTTGAAGTGAACACAATGGCTAATAATATGGACGACAATTAATGTTGCAATTAAAATAGAGCAAATTATTGAAGAAAGAGATTTACTTTTAAGCATGTTCTTTTGACAAATTTATTCATTTTAAAAACGCAGCATGAACGACAATATAGTAAAGCATAGCTATAAACATCTAATCAACAAATCTAACGTCAATGTGAGTGTTAATTAAAATTAATCCTTGAGTTGAACAATTTGCTGGGAACAGTCTTCAAGTTGATCTGGCTTAGGATGCTTGCAAATGCAAGTTTCCCTGAATTGCCTGCGTTAACTACTAATCTTTTTTTGTAGACAAAGTAATTGTTTTCAGTTTCGAAGACAAACTTGTTTTGTAAGATTATTGGTGCATTTGCCTAAGTTGTTAAAGAAATTAATTTTAAAAATTAATTGAGTTTTTATAGATTCTGTAAAATAAATTTTTTCATTTGGTTAAATCATAAAGATTATTCTATACATTCAAAGTTAATTATATTTACATTTAGAAGTTGCTTAAAGTAGTTTCTTAAAAATATTAGAAGTTTTCTTTTCTGGTTAATTTTTTTTCATAAGTTTAAGCTAAAAATTAATGAACTTTACCTTTCAAAATAAAAACACTCTTACAAAATTTTAAACTATTATCTAACCATGATTTATTTTATTAATCTGTCAATGCTAATTGAATGATAATAATTAATATAATTAAAAAAAATTACGCTAAGAATTAAGGACCAAATTTTAACTCGAACATTTCTTCATGTACATAATTGCGTGAAAATAAGGACATATAATTAAGACAATATAATTTAAAAACCAATAAATTTGTGTTCACTCTAATTTATAAAAGTTTTATGTATAAAAATAAAATAATATTAGGTGCTCCGAGTTGAGTTTTTTATCGGCAAAATGTCAGGATTCCAAACACGTTTAGGCCAAACGCGCGAAAGTAAAAAGTGTAAACTTATGAATAACGGCGTGTTTGGCATACTGTAACAATAAAATAAATAATCGCGTGCACCGCAAACAAAAAGTGTAAACTTTATTTTTGTTACAGCATGCCAAACACGCGAAACACGTATTCACCGTACAAAACACGTTTGGGATAAGGAAACAAACTCGTCTCAACTCAAACATGATTACTTCACAAAATAAATAAAATTTAAAAATATTCTGAAAAATTATTAGTTTATCAAATATTAATTTATATATGTGTATCCAAAAGCAATTAAACATAAGTTCGTTTTAAAATGAATGGGGGATATAATTATGCTATAAATTAATATCTACCGTTCATCTCTGTTCTCTACCAGCATGGAAAAACTTTTATTCTCTCTTTTACTGCAAGACCATCCAATTCACTAACATTGCTTTCAAATTTTATGTTGATGATACTTTATGCAACTTTTAATATTTTCATTGATCATTACAATTTTATATTCAATTTTTATATGTACCCTACCTTTATGTATCCAACCCAAGGTTCAAACCCATGAAGGTAAGGCAAGAAACAAACAAATAGCATGTTTAGCTTTGTGTTAAACTACACATAAATTCATACTTATCTTAATGTTATTATTTATAATTTTATATTATATTTGCATTTATAAATTTTTTAACGTATTTATAAATACAACTTGTCCCTTAAAAAGTAATTAACATTCCCGGAATAAGAAAAAACATATAATATACGTTATGAAGTTTCTCTGAAGGTGCTAAAACTAGAAAAACACAGACTATATATATATATATAGTTATAGTTACAGGCTTATCATATATTTGTACTAATTTGTACACTCGAGATTCGAGAATACAATCTTTCATACCTTCTCTCTCTATCTATGAATCGAAGCAATGTAGTTGGTAAAAGCAAATTTAGGTGGCTTGTGGAACAACCTCTGATACTTTAGCTGGCCGTATATGTCCGTACCACTTGATTAAGGATCCATGTTCTTTACAAATAATAACATACTTTAAATCTAAAAAACAAAATCCTTTAATCATGAGGCTAAGTGAACGTCTTAATTAATATGAAATGGTTTCAAGTGTTACATATAATTATCCAAAATACACGTACTTTTCGTGATTCATTATCATATATAAAGAAATGATATGTATGAGATGCAATAATGGATTTGAAAGTGGAAGAACAAAAAGACACAAGTGGAGAAAACGTGGAGGCAGGGAAGGGTCGAAAGGGGAAGGAAATTGTTGGAAGCCAAGAAATGGGTTGTCTCACTTCATCTTTCAGTAGTCAAAGTTTAGTGGTCAATGCAATGCTGAATGATTAGGAGAGGAATACTAGTACCATAATTTTTTAATATAGTTTTAATTATTAATTAAATTTATAAAAGTATAAAAAAAATGTTACTATAAAAAAATTGTATTAAAAAGAATGTTATTAATATTCCTTTGTATTAATCAAAACAAACGAAAAGACATGCATCAAAGTCTATGCTTGGTCTTGTAGTAAGAGATTTCTTCCATGAGATCTCTCAAGTTAATTTTCAGCAAGTTACCCTCAAATTTCTTTATTCTCTACGGTTAATATATATTATTGAATGATGTTACCACAGCAATAGCTAAATATTTTTTATGAGATTTCATTATTTCTAAATAATATGTACATTAAAATGACTACTATTACTTAAATTTTTACTTGTTTTAAGTTATGGCATGGGATTCGTTCAAAGTGTGTAATAAAGGTAAAAATGTGATACGTGAAGAAAGTATTTCAACCTACATTAAATCTAAAACAAAAAAGCTTTAATAGATAAAGCACATTTGAGTCTCAAATATTATTAATAATATATGGTCTCAAAGGCTAAATTAATAGATAAAGCATATTCTTAAAAACTATCAAAGTCACTTTAAAATATTAAGAATTAAAATGTTTAATTCTAATAATCTTTAGGAAAAACTTAAGAGTTTATTCATATTAATGAGTTGTTTAGAAAGAAAAATTTTGAAAGGGCAAAATTTTTATTTTAAATAAACATTTGAATTTAAATTTTCAAAATAAATTATGTAAAATGACATGTTAGCATGAACTTGATGTATTGACTCAAACAAAATAATCTCCGGTAAAGGACACGTGATCTAAATAAAAAAAAATTAATGTTTAACTATTTATTTATTATTATAAAAATATCATTTTTTTAATTAAAAAATTGAAAAAATTATCTTCCCACCATTTTTTTTTAAAATCTTCCTCTCAAATAGAGCTGACAAAATGGACTACTTGGCTGATTTGAGTTGGCTCATGGTGGCTAGTAAACTTTATAAAGTAAGACTTAAAAAAGATCAAAATCTAATTCGAGCTTGTAAAAATAATACCTGAAACAAGTAAAACTCAATAATTTTTGTGAGTTTTTATAAGCTTAACCCGCATAAAGCTTAATTAAATTAAGTTAAAAGAGTCCAAATTTAAGTCAAACTCAATAAAAAATTCAAGCTTATATTTTATTAAGCGAGTTCAAGTCGAACGAGTTGAACAAACCTATTTTGACAGTTCTAGTCGCAAACAACCGCTTGGAATATCTAATCATACCAAAGTCATTGAAAGATGATATCTTAAATTTGCAAAAAAGCTGAAGACTGTTGAAAATATGCCTGCAACAACTGCACACGTGGCTGTTTTATCCAATTTTTAAATTTTAATTTTCTGTTATTTAAGACCTAGTCATTAGGAGTTTTTGTTTCTATTTATCAGATTGAATTATTGTTAGTCATGCCTAAAAATAAGGGATATTTTATTTTGTATGTTTGACTCTAGCTCTATTTAAAACGAGCAAGTGAATAATATCGTAGTATTCTCTGCAAAACATTTTTATCCTTCTACTCTTATTTTATGTTAACAACAACAAATTGGTATCAAGAGCCTTTATCTTTGAGGGATTTGTGAGTTAAGAGAAACACCAATGGAGGATAATACATACACAGTAGGTTCACCGCCAATTTTTGATGGTGAGGAATATGAGTTATGGGCTGCAAGGATGATCTGTCATCTTGAAGCATTGGATCTTTGGGAGGCAGTAGAAGAAGATTATGATGTTCCTATATTGCCTGACAATCCAACTGTGGCTCAAATGAAGTACCACAAGGAGAGAAAGACAAAAAAGGCAAAGGCAAAAAATTGCCTTTTTTCTGCTGTGTCAAAAATCATTTTTACAAGAATTATGAATTTCAAATCTGCCAAAGAGATTTGGGATTATCTCAAGAAACAATATTCTGGTTGTGAAAGAACCAAAGGCATGCAAGTGCTTAACTTAGCTAGAGAATTCGAGATGCAGAGCATGAAGGAGACAGAAACAATTAAAAATTATGTTGATCGACTGATGAATATAGCAAATAAAGTGCAGCTTCTCGGGAAAGACTTTCCTGATGAAAAAATAGTTCAAAAAATTATGGTTACTGTACCAGAAAAATATGAATCAAAGATATCAACATTGGAGGAGTCAAAAGACATGTCAACCATCACCTTGGGAGAATTGGTAAATGCTTTACAGGCCCAGGAGCAAAGAAGAATGATGAGATAAGATGAGACGGTACAAGGTGCTTTTCATGTAAAAGCACAAAATTCAAAAGGTGGCAAAAACAACAACAAATGGAAGAACAAAAAGCTAGAAGGTTTCAACGAACAGCAAGGTGAGAACTTTTCCCCTTGTCCACATTGCAAAAAGACAAATCATCCAAAAGAAAGATGTTGGTGGAGGCCAGATATCAAGTGTAGAAAATGTGGTGATTTGGGACATGTAGAGCGAGTCTGCAAGTCTAAATCAAAAGAGGCAAATGTCACCTTGGAGGAGCAAGAAGATGAGCAACTCTTTGTTGCAACATGTTTCACTACAATCAACTGTTCTAGTGACTCATAGTTAATAGACAGCGGTTGCACAAACCACATGACCCACGACGAAAAGCTGTTTAAAGAGCTTGACAAAACCACCATTTTCAAAGTAAAAATTGGAAATGGTGATTTCATCTCAGTTAAAGGGAAAGGGACCATCGCTATTGAAAGCTTGACAGGTTTGAAGTATATCTCTGATGTTTTATATGTGCCTAACATTGACCAAAATTTGCTTAGTGTTGCACAACTTGTGGAAAAGGGCTTCAAAGTCATATTTGAAAATAACTGGTGCTTGATCAAAGACACAAAAGGCAAAGATGTATTTAGAGTGAAAATGAGATCTAAGAGCTATGCTCTAAATCTGATGGAGGAGGAGCAAATAGCTTTTTCGAGCACAACCACCAATGCTGATCTATGGCACAAAAGACTTGGACATTTTCATCTTGCAGGACTGTTATACATGCAGAAACATGCCTTGGTAAAAGGTGTCTCGATGCTTGAAGACAAGTTGGTAGATTGTGTGGCTTGCTAACTTGGTAAACTAGTCAGAAAACCATTTCCTCAAACCACTTGGAGAGCAACTCAAAGGCTACAACTTGTTCATACAGATGTTGGGGGACCTCAGAGAGTATTGTCTTTAAATGGTAATAAATATTATATTACTTTTATTGATGATTATACTAGATACTGTTGGATTTATTTCTTTAAATCCAAGACTGAGGTTGCCAATATTTTCTGGAAATATAAAGCATTTGTGGAAAATCAAAGTGGTTGCATATTACAAATAATAAGGTCTGACAATGGAAAAGAATATACAAATGACGTTTTTGATAAATTTTGTGAAGAAGCTGGCATTGAGCACCAACTTACAGTACCATACAACCCACAACAAAATGGTGTAAGTGAGAGAAAAAATAGAAGCATCATGGAGATGACAAGGTGCATGTTACATGAGAAAGATTTGCCAAAGAAGCTGTGGGCAGAGGCAGCAAGCACTGCTGTATTTTTGCTGAATAGGCTGCCAAGTAGAGTTTTGAACAAAAGAACTCCATTTGAAGGCTGGTTTGGGTACAAACCGGATTTACAAAATTTGAGAATTTTTGGTTGTGTTTGTTTTTCTTATGTTCCACAGGTTAAAAGGGACAAACTTGACAAAAAGGCTGAACCCGGAGTTTTCATCGGATATAGTAGCACGGCTAAAGCTTACAGAATTTTCCAACCACAAAATGGAAAAATTCTTGTGAGTAAAGATGTAAAGTTCATGGAAGATCAACAGTGGAGTTGGGAGAAGCCAGTAAGAAAGCAACTTCTAGAAACTCCACAACTCCTTGATGATGAAGTTGATGAAATTCCTGTCAGAGGTACAAGATCTTTATCCGAGATTTATCAAAAGTGTAATGTGGCTGTCTTAGAACCTGCTGAATTTGAAGAAGCTGAAAAGGATGAGAAGTGGATTAATGCTATGAAGGAAGAACTTAAGATGATTGAAAAAAATGACACTTGGGAGCTAGTAGATCGACCTCAACACAAACAACCCATAGGAGTCAAATGGGTTTATAGAACTAAACTAAATGCAGATGGTTCTATAAATAAACATAAGGCCAGGTTGGTGGTAAAAGGTTATGCTCAAGTGTTTGGAGTGGATTTTTCAGAAACGTTTGCTCCCGTTGCACGTCTCGATACAATTAGAATGCTGCTTGCTTTGGCTGCACACAAAGGTTGGAAAATTTACCATTTAGATGTAAAATCTGCATTTTTAAATGGTTATTTGCAAGAGGAGATATTTGTGGAGCAGCCAGAGGGATTTCAAGTTAAGGAACAAGAAGATAAGGTTTACAAGCTAAAGAAAGCCTTGTATGGTCTTAAACAAGCTCCAAGGGCTTGGTATGGAAGAATTGATGATTATCTTAAAAAACTTGGATTTATTAAAAGTCCAAATGAAGCTACATTATATGTGAAAATGGTAGGAGGTGATTTAATTATAGTTTCTATTTATGTTGATGACCTCTTTGTGACAGGCACTAATGAAAAACTAATGATGGAGTTCAAAGCTAAAATGCTTCAAATGTTTGAGATGACAGATCTTGGTTTAATGTCCTTTTTTTTGGGAATGGAGGTGAAGCAAGAAAAAGATGGAGTTTTTCTATGTCAAAAAAAATATGCAAAAGAAATACTGAAGAAGCTCTACATGGAGGACTGCAAAAGCATTGATACACCAATGAACCAGAAAGAAAATTTCAGCAAAGATGATGGAGCCGATAAGGTAGATGAATATCATTATAGAAGTATAATTAGTTGCCTAATGTATCTCAGTGCAACTAGACCTGATATCATGTTTGCAGTAAGTGTCCTTTCAAGATTTATGCATTGTGCTAGTGAGGTCCATCTTCAAGCTGCCAAACGGATTGTGAGATATGTCAAGGGAACTATAAATTATGGCATCAAGTTCACTCACTCTCAAAATTTTCAGTTTCAAGGATATTCTGATAGTGATTGAGCTGGTTCAAATGATGACATGAAAAGTACAACAGGTTACTGTTTCAGCTTTGGTTCGGGTATGTTTTCATGGAGTTCCAAAAAAACAAGATATAGTGGCTCAAAGCACAGCTGAGGCAGAATATGTGGCAGCCACTGCAGCTGTGAATCAAGCTATTTGGCTAAGGCAGATACTTGTTGATCTACATATGGAGCAAAAAGAGGCAACACAGATTTTTGTTGATAATCAAGCAGCTATTTCTATTTCAAATAATCCTGTTTTTCATTGCAAGACTAAGAATTTTAAGATTAAGCTATTTTTCTGAAGAGAAGTACAAAGAGAAGGTGAAGTCAAACTTCTTTATTGCAGAACTGAAGATCAAAGTGCAGATGTTTTAACAAAAGCCCTTCCAAAATCTAGATTTGAAGCTTTGAGAAACAAATTAGGTGTTTGCAGCTATTGAGGCAAGGAGGAGATTTGTTGAAAATATGCCTGCAACAACTGCACACGTGGCTGTTTTATCCAATTTTTAAATTTTGATTTTCTGTTATTTAAGATATAGTCATTAAGAGTTTTTGTTTCTATTTATCAGATTGAATTATTGTTAGTCGTGCCTAAAAATAAAGGATATTTTATTTTGTATGTTTGACTCTAGCTCTATTTAAAACGAGCAAGTGAATAATATCGTAGTATTCTCCGCAAAACATTTTTATCCTTCTACTCTTATTTTATGTTAACAACAACAAAGACAACATGTGAAAACAATTGATCAACAAAATTACTTGCCCAGACCATTTCAACTATTGCAATTTAACTTGATAGCTTCCTAGTGGTGGTGTTGACACATTTAGATGCATTTGATGCCAATTAGAAGGCACAACTACACTCATACATGTCCTGCCCCAGTTTTGCTTCACCAGTCGTTTTATGAATCCGAATAGAGCAAGGAAAAACGATATTTGTGTAGCACCATGCTGGTATATTCTGATTGATTAATGCACATCAGATTAAGAATTTTGGTGCTAGTGTACTGCTTTTTTAAAAAAAAAAATACGATGATCAAGTTTTAAAGCAACTTGTTCTTTGTCGTGGGTGTAATTGTGCCACTAACATAACTCTATCCTACACATTTATCAAAGGTAGGGTGAAAATGTACCTTTTGTTAACTGAATATCTAACAAAATTAGTAACATAAGCTTACATCCATCCACTCCAAGATCACATAAATACATGATGAATTGAATATTCACAACACAGAAGCTAAGAGACTTGAGGGAAGCGGAAGCACAACTGCACAAACAACAAATCTTCTAAATGCTAGGTCATAACTTAGCTATGAATTTCAGAAAGGAAAACGTTTCCTTGGTCAAACAAGCAGAAGGCCAACACAGAAACCAGTGGAACACAAACTGCTGCCAAAATAAATGTCAAGTTTCTCCAATTTGCAGGCTTATCTACTGAATTGGATGATGTTGCTCGTGTTTCGAAGCTTGCACAATCTTCATCCACCTAATAATAGAAACCAAGAAATGAGGAAGCTTTTAGGATCCCAGGAAAAACATTTGGACCTCTAAGTTAGCTTCTCATTCTATCAATGCAAGGTCTAATATTTCTATAAGGTGTGACATAAATTATAATTCTTTAACTCGTAATCTCTACAAAAAAAATAAATAAAAATCATCCAAGGCTTATGTTGTGTATTTGGCTCCACTATGAATGAACACAGCACAAACAGAATAAGAATAATTAGCACTTCCAATATTTTTTACAAAATAACCTTTCTTGTGCTTATGTTTTGATTATAGCATGGAAGGCAGAAAATGGTTTGTGAGGGAGTACTGAAAACAAGCACCAGTAGGGTAGCATGGTCACCAGGGTTTGTACACTCATGTCATGCCACTAATGTAATCAGGCAGAGAGGCATTAACATTATTGAGACAAAATAAGGATGAATGATGAGAAATAGATGAAGTCCATTTTTAATGCAAACAGTATACAATTTTAATAATAGTAAAGCAAGTTGTTAAATAGATGAAATATTAAATGGGAGGCAAAATCTACAGAGACAGACGGGAATATCAGAGCCTTATTTGCTTCATTGAGTTTTTATCTTTCTAAGTTCTTAAGAAATTCACTGAAAACCACAAAATCCTAAAGGCAGTTTATATGAATTCATCAATTCTGTGTATAGTTAACCAAGTGTTAGCTAACCATTTAGCTTACAGTTTGCTTTGAAGGGATCAGACGAGGATCATTTTATTTCTAGATTCCCATCAAAGATACAAAAGAATATTCATCATTGGGTACCAAGAGATTCTAATATATGCATGCAACTTGCCAATGGATTAATGGACTAGCAGAGGACTGCTAAGGGCTTGAAGTACACATAATCACCGCCTGAGTGCAGATGTAAATAATCATGTCTTCCATATTTGTGCCTTCCAAAATGCATTATGCTAGCTAGGGGTTAGAATGGAATGCGTAAGTATACATTTGCCTGTTTTATGCGCACCCCGCAAAGATAATATGCTAATCTTCTGTTAATTTTGAAAATTATGAAGGAACCATGCTATGCCAAAACTTGGGTATGGCCTTTGGTTACCACAATAAAGTAAAACATATTCTAAAGAATAGAACATTAAGAGGGATAGTCAATGGAGGTTTGATTTTTTACTTTATTTCCATTTTTATTCTCTAAATATTACTAAAATGTAAGTGTGGATTGAAATGATTAGCAAGTATGGAAATGCTTGTAAAGAGCCTAACTATGCAGTAAATAAAAATTAGGCCCATGTGCAAAGTCTTGCAAGAGCCATTAAATTTCCCAGCTTTTGCCAGTAAACATCGTATATGCAATATCAAGGGTCACTAGCAAAAACAATTAAGCTGACAAAAGGTACCTGCCTGAAATGTTTTAGAAAAGTGATCTGTTCCTTCTTCATCACATGACTTTGTGCAGCTATCATTGCTCGAGTCAATATTGGAAGCTTGATCTTCATTTCTGTTATTTAGTCCATTGCTGCATGCATCTAGAGAGGCACCAGTTTTAGTATCCTTTATCTTTTCTACCAAAATTTTATTTTCCTGTTTTAAAGCACTTAACTGCAGGAAGAACACAGTGATACAAATGTTATCATCCAGTTAGTATCATAGGTCAGCCTCAACTGAATAATAATATATCTATATCCTTTTTAAGAAAATAAAAACAAACCATGAAAACAATTATACCTTAAAAACTATCCCACTCACAAGGAAGTTTACTAATTTGTTTTCTAAGTTAATTATGCAAAACATAGTGACTAGGACCAATATTGCTACTGTAAAGTCCACTATCGATGCTCATACTATAAGTATCCATGAACCATCAAGGATCTGGATTTAGATAACCCTTATATATATAATTTCTTTAATATATTTAGGAAAAACATATGAAAATTGGAGAGAAAACACTATTTGGTCCTCGAAATATACAATTTTCTCGAGTCCTTCAAACAGTGATAAATTAAAACATCGAACATTTCATTCAATAAAATTAAAACTCTAGGGTACCCAATTAAGTAAACACAAATCTTTATGGGACCCAAATAGTAGTTTTCTCTTTGGAAAGAAAAAACAAAATTGCAACTAAAGCTCAAAATCAGTTGAAACCTTAGAAGATTATAAAAGTCATTACCTGTTTATTGATGCGCTCCCTTTCAGTGGCTAGTTGTGTTACCATCTCCATGATAAACTTGGTTCTGGTATTAATTTCTTTTGCACTTGATAAATTTGTATTACTGGCTTGATCCACTGATGTTTTCAGGCTAATCATCCTGGACCGCAGAAGATCCAATTCTTTATTAAGTTCTAAGTTAGTCTGAGATAGCTCAATGCATTGCTCCTCTGCACCTTCTTTATTACTTTCAGCTTTTGAAACCTTTGATTTTAGCTCTTCAATTAATATTTCCATATCCCATATAGCTGTGTATAACATGTTCTGTTGTTCTTGACTTGCTTCAGAAGATGCCTTTGCATTCTGTAGTTGGATATCTAATTCCCTTAGTTGCTTCTCAAGTGAACCAACCTTTTTCTCTGCAGTATTAGCACTGCCCTTAAGAAAATCCAGCTCTTCAGTAAGTTCCAAGTTGGTTTCAGTTAACTGTGTAACCTTCGCTTCTGCACTCTCAGCCCGATTTTCTGTTATATCAATGCTTTCTTTAAGAGACTCAACAAAATTTTCCATTTCAATAAGTTGTTCATGACATGCTTCATTCTCTGCAATCACAGCATTTATCCGGAGCTCAAAATCTTTTCGTTCTTCTTCAAGATACTTCACCTTTTCCCTCAAAGCTAACACCTCAGATTTTTCCTTAATATTCTCAACATTACCTCTCTCAAGCTTCTCTATGGTTGCATCTTTAGTCTTGAGTTGCTTTATCAAATTTTGAACTTTTGATTTCAGCTCATTTTCTCGTTGCAGATAAACATTGAGGTTGAACTCAGTTACTTGAAGGCATCCCATTATACCTTTAGAAATCCCCATTAACGTCACCGCAGCATTGTCTGCCTCTAGAAATCTTCCCCAAACTACTTCTGCTGCTTCTTCCATATAATATGCCACTTGTTCTGTGTAGCGAAGTTTCAACTTTAGCTCTTCATTTTTTCTTGACTCTGCTAACTTCTTCTCAAGATCTAACTCCCTTGCAAGGGATTTCTCAAGCATTCGCACGATATATCTCCGTTGCTGAACCATCTGATCATTGGATTTTGCTTTCACATTTATCAGCTGACCATTTCCTGATAAATTCAAAGCCTTCCCCATTTCACCTGTTTACATGGATGACTAAAAGGTAAACAGTCACTCAAAACTTGGATAAGAACTGCATCCTCAGTATAACAAAGAAGTATTTTGAGTAAAAATTTCAACTTACAATTCTCATGTCGAAAAGCCTCAAGGGTTTTTTGTAGCTGGGATGATTGCATTTTCAACTCCAACAACTGCTGTTGAAATTGCTTCACAGAGTCTTCTGAGTCATGCAATTTTTTGTCCATCATAAAGAAAACCTCAGTCAAATGTCTGCATGGAAATATTTTATGACGAGCATCAACAATTTCTTCTCCGAGAGTGTCCATGAAATTGTCCAGCTCTCTTACCTCAGAATCTAAAATGCCAGACAATAGATCAAATGTCATTGCCTTCTCAAACAAGTTTGCCAAGACGCAGTTATTCCTTGAATCCATTGCTTCAAGATCATTTTCCTGGGCCAATAGATAAATATATAGCAAATGCAAGTTTACCAACTTCTCAGAAAAATAGCCTAAGCGATAGTCTATTTCAGTTAAAGCTTGCAGGGATATCTCTAGTTCTTGCACATCATTTTCTTTAGTTGAGAAGCCCTGGAGTGGATGGAGTTTTCCAAAAGCTGCACCTTCATCATATAAGTCACCTTGAACTTTATTCAGAAATTCATCCATTGGTAGTCTGTATCTTTTGGTTCAGCAACTAGTAGACAGTCCTGAAAGTAAGGTAGAAATGTGGATGAATTGAAACAGGCTTAGTTTATGAATTAATAAATCCTATATAATATACAATTCAACTGTTAAACAAGCAAATTCCTATCATCAATTTACACTCTAAAGGAAAGCAACAATGATTATTAATTGGTAATTATCACAGCTATAGTTTCTATATATTAAAAGCTCAGACAGCTCCTCTAGAATGATTGAATCATTTATACAAGGACAAGGAGGAGGGAATTGATATAGGAAAAGTACGGAATTCGTATGCTCTATTTTCTTGGTATTACCCACTGAAAACATAAAAGGACAGCATAATTATGCTTATGTTTTTTCCCATCAATTACAGTGGAAAGACAAACTTACCTTTGGATACGAGATCAGTAAGGAATTGGAGAAATACATGTAAATGGAAGCACAAAATGGTAGGTCTTGGACGATGTTTTTTTATATAGTACATGTTATTTTTTGAGGATCAGTTAGCCTTTTGTTTCTTTACAAGTTACTTTCATTTATCCCTTTGTTTCATATGAATTTCAAAATTTCACTCAACTCTCTAACTCACTTTTCCTAATCATTACCGTAAGAAGCAAAAAAATGAAACATCTCGCATTTGGATGCCTAATTCCTTTTCCTACAGCTCACTATTAGCATCTTCCTCCACTATTTTATTTCATCAGCATCTAATCACCAACAAAAACACAGGAATCACAACTTCCATGTTTCTCTTACACAAACATAGATAGAGAACATTCGTGATCTTTCCCCTTCACACTGTTTAAACATGCATAACTTATCACTAAAAAACCTAAATTCTGTAGCAGTTCATTTCAAAATGCATTTTTTTTTCCTTTCAACAGAATTGTAATTCCACAATGAAGCAACATCAATTCCAATATAGACAACAAAAAGCATAGGAGATCCTGAATTTTCTAACAAATGCAACACACAACAATACACCACCTATCCTTGGAAATCCTTCACAAATTACCACAAAAAACCATCAATTAGTAAACCAACACAGATGTCACCGCAATTTTACTGCGCATTGAGTTCCCACCGAATCGGAATTTCAAGTTTCCAATACCAACCCCCACCCAAGTGACAATCCTCAACAAAGCTCCAAACTTTACCATTCCAAAACATGAAATGCTATAAATAAACAGCAAACATGACCTCTCCCATTTCCCCCAAGGAAGCACAGACAAAGTTCCAAAAGTTAAATCAAATTCTCAAATGGGAACTCAGAAATTGGGTCTTACCTGTCTCTAAACACTTCTGGGTCTTCTTATCTCCTCAATCTGAAAATGATCTTGAAGAAACTTGACTTAAAAAAAAAACCCCTACATGAAAATTCTGCTGCATAGTCTATCTGAGCCTTCCAACTACCAATCATTTCCAAATTACCGTTATTTAAATAAACGGGTCACCTTTTCCCATTATTCAAAGTAAATAAATATATAAATAAACAAACAAAAAGGGTATCTTTTTGTTCTTTTTTTGGTGTCACTCCGTGTCTCCAATCTGTGCGGATCGATGAGGTGGAAGAGGAAGAACCAAAGTGCAAACAGCAAAGTGGTCAAAGTAGTGCGTGAGAGCGTTGTTGTTGTGATCCGTGGAAGAAAAATCAAAGAAAAAATAAGACTTGGATTGTGGTGCACGTTAGCAGTAAAGGTTGATCTTGCACTGTTACAATTGACTTTGAATAATTGAGTTAGAGTTTGAGACTGAGTTGAGGCACAACACAATCCAATACTGTACGCACAAATAAGTAGATAAGACACAGATCTATTAGTATTAAGTACAACGTATGGCTTAGACTCTTGCAAAGCTGAAATGTCATTGTCTTTGTGGGTCCCCCTCGTTCTATTCCGACAACTTGTTTTTGTGAGAACAATAGCATCATCGTCGTTGTTATAGTTAAATGTTAAATTGATGTTTCAAATTCAAATTGTGATTTTGGTAAACCAATGAAAGATTATTATTATTATTATTATTATTATTGAATATAAAGTGTAATTATTTGGTTAATAAAAGGTTGGGACAAAAATACTATATTCTTTAGCTAATCATCATTTATGGTCTTATTATGCGCTCCACCTCTTTTTGAATTGTTTGATTCTGATTTATTAGTGATTTCCATTTTTCTCTAATAACTTAACATATTTTTCTCCGCGTCATTAACTATTTTTTGGATCTTTCCTATGGCAGAATATTCTTTCCAGTAAAGTTCTTTTGACGTTTATTGTTTTGTGATGGAAAACTTTTATTATAAGGATAATTTAACAAGAAAATAAATAGCATATTATATGATACATCTGTCTAAAGCGTGCACATATTTTGAAACTTAAGTATGATTTTTTTTAAAATCGAAAGTAATATGAATAATGTTGACAATGTTTTATCATTCTTGGCACCAAATTGAAGTGATAATGAGGATTGATATTTGATATGATGCAAGAGATTTTATAATTACCATCACATGTCTTTAGCTCATTAACATCAATATCTCACTACTATAATACAGAGTTAAGAAGTACGTTGGAAAATATGATTAACTAATAATAATCGAAATATGATTAGGTTGTAAAATTGAATTTGTTTATTGACCCGGGATACACAGGAATAATAATAATAATAATAATTAGTCATCATGCATCCTAATAAATAAATTAATTAACACATGTAATACATGTTAAATAATATTATTTAGTATAAAAATTAAGTTTCACTACACTTCAAATGAAGTAAATTTACAAATAAATATAACTTGATAATATTAATCCTCTATGTGTGTTTGTGTACACGAGATAAATATCTTTTGTTTTGAGATAAATACCTTTACAATAGTATAAATGTTCAATTAAATAACTTTGATGACAATATGTTTTTAATATAAATTTTTCACATACTCATGATGTAATCATGCATTGAAATTTTTGTAATTACGTTCTGCGTATAAATTTGTCATTTTTTCGTGAGTTTTATTCTCTCTTTTTTTTGTTGTTAGTATACAATTTTTACCATAAAATTGAAAAAAAAATATAAAAATATTTAGTTAATATATAACAAAAATATGAATCCTTTAGTGTTAAATTAAGAAAAAATAGATTTTGACTTCAAATTTATGAATTTAATTTAAATACTGACAGTGATATTTTTTTTTATGTCATCAAGTCATGAATTAGAAATATTAATCTTGTATTAATTAACATAAAAATTATACTCACGATGTATTTAATTAGTTGTCAAAATAAAAATCTTCAAAACACCAAAATCAAATTCATATACTATTCTCTCAACTTAATATACTGGGACCATGTGAATTCAAAAGTGAAATTTAAGTGTACCTCCAGAAATCATTATTAGTTACTTATTACCTCTCAAAAGAATAATCAACTTTAAGCTAAAAACCCTTCAAAGATCTTAACAGCTTGTCTTTTTGAATACGTTCTTTTTAGAAAAAAGAAACACGTAGAAAATGTTTTTCTCTAGAGAAGGTGGGAGAGGATGTTAACAGTTTTAACAGACCAAAAATGGAAAGAAAAATACAAAACCTGCACAAATCTGTTTGGAGTGATTTTAAGAGGGATCAACAGATATTGCGCAATTAAGGCACTAATAGTAACTTCTTCATTCATAGTTTGTGACTTGGACTTCACATCATTTGTGAAATCGCTACTAACAAAAAGTCTGTTTACAGGGCGAAACATATTTGATTAGTACAAAAGCATCCAACACCAATAGACACGGTCAGGGATAACTATAAACATATTAAAATAGAAATGGATAAATATCCTTACAAGAAAAATCTTGCTCTAATAAGTTTCAAGCACAATCAATTTTTACATGATTACTTCCGATTCACTCGCAAGTATCTAATAAATAATAAACAAATATATTCAGTAAAAATTTACAACTTTTTGTAAAACAAAATAATACGCATTCTTAATAATAGAAGTGTTCATTTGTCAATCCAATCCAATATAGACCGCAAAAATTAAACCTAAAAACTGAGAATCAAAAATATAAATTTGTTGAAATCAATTGAATTTTGAATTATATTTTGCACTCATACATGTCCAGCCCCAGTTTTGCTTAACCAGTCATTTTATGAAGACGAATAAAGCACAGAAAAACCAGGGAAGAAAGATATTTCTGTTGCACCATGCTCGTATAATCTGATTGATTAACGCACATCAGATTAAGAATTTTGGTGCCTGTGTTCAGTTTGTTTTCCCAAAAAAAAAAAAAAGATGATCGAGTTTTAAAGAATGTTCTTTATTGTGGGTGCAAGTGTGCCTCCAACATTTACTACACATTCATCAAAGGTAGGGTGAAAATGTATCTTCTTTTAACTGAATATCGAACAAAAATAGTCATTGAAGTAATAAAAAATAAAACCACATTCCCCATGTTTAAAGGCTTTATTCCAAATGAAGAGAAAGGGGAAGGAAATAGAGGGATTGGTGACAAATCACTGATTACTCCCTTAAAATTCGATTCCCTTCCTAAAACATCATGAAAAATAATTCCTCAGTTACATAAGAAAACACTGTTGGTAATAGCAACACCAGCAAAGCAATCAGAGAACTTTGAAGACCATGGGAACAAAGAATCCACATCACATTCAGACATTAAAACCTCATCACTTTGCTCTGCCTTCTACAACACCCATTTCGCTTTCCCTTCTTTTTCTCCTCATATATTTCTCACAGAAACACTTGCTGAAAACCAAACCATAATATGCAGCATCAAAAGTAAAATTCATTAAAAAAACATCTTTGAACTAAGAAATTGCAGTAAACAATGCAAAGTGCTATCCACGTAATACAAAAAAAACACTTGAAATCCGCATCACCCTAACACCAAATAATAATAAAATTAAGACAAAGTGAAGGACTTGCTAAACCAACCCCCCACAAAATTACAACAATGCAGAGCAAAGCAATCAGAGAACTTTGAAGACCTTATGAGACAAAAGATATCCACATCAGTTTCAGACATGCTGACCTCATCATTTTGCTTTGCTTACTGATCAGTATCAATCAATTATAACAGAACCAATTATTTGGCAACAAAAATTGCAAATTGGGGAAGGAAAAACCCTAGCCCAAAAACATAAATTTGAATTGCCATGACTGAATCTTGCACCCCTACAACCTTATCTCGTAATTTCCTTACAACTAAACTTGAAGATGCAAGGGGCTACATGGTGCGTCATGTTAACAAACAAGAGAAAAAACAATAAATTTTAAATAAAATAAAAACAACAATCTTAAGAAAGGTAACTTGTAGTAGTCATAATGCTTTATCCAATCAAACTACATTAAAATGTTGCCTCCTACGCGATTACCAACACGCGCAGCGACGGCAACGTACGCGACTAGTGTTTGGTGTAGCGACACTGACACTTGAGACGGAGAGTGGAAGAGATCGATTGAGAGAGAAGTGTAGCTGGGAGAAGGTGGGTGGCAGCTGTGGGCGTCAGAGTGAAAAAAGGAATTAGGGTTTGAAAACATAATGAAGCGTTTAAATTATATAAGTGTTGTCAATTGTAGCACTTGTATTTAAAAAAAAATAAAATCCATTTTTATCACGTTAATAAACAGAAAATGGTGTAAGGTTAATCCTTTCAGTTTGGATCAATTTTGAGTTAAAAATTAATTTCAAGTAGTTATAAAATAAATTTCAAATTTGGTTTAAATTAACTTTTAAAAATATAAAATATCAATATAATTAAGTTATTTTTTCCCAGTTTAGAATGAATTGATTATTTTTTTATTTTTAGGTGAAAATTTTAAATTTTCTAATTAACAAATAAATATATTTTAATTAATTAAAATATAAATTAAGTAATAAATTAATAAAAAAATTTTGGTGACTACATTTTTATTTAAGAGACAATATTTATTAAATAAATTAAAAATGTAATAAATAAAAAATATTAAAACTCATTATAAAACATAAATTAGTTTAAACTATAAATCGCAAATCAAAATAAACTTATTTTTAAAAATATAAATATATTCAATAAAATATATTCAAATCCAATATTTGTATAATAATAAAATATAATTTTAATCTAATTACAGCTTTATTTTATTTAATTTTGTTAAACCGCATAAAAAATATAAATTTGTTGTTTGTTTAGTTTTCAGTTTTTAACTATTTTTAATTAGTTTAACAATTTTGATCAAAATTTAAATACCCGTAATAAGTACAAGTTATTATAACATTTTCTCAATTGAAGATATTTTAAATATTTTTAAAGTATATATAAAAAATGTTATTTATTATAATATTTTGCATAAGAGACACTTTTTTATGACGTAATATTCTTTTTTTTGGTATACCAAAATAAAATTCTAAACAACTCAATTATTTCTTACAAGAGTAAGAAATTTTCTTAAATTATCTCAATGAAAGAAATTAGAAAAAAAGAGAGAAAAAATTATGAAAAAGAAATATATTTAATGTATTAATTTAAATATATTAATAATAGAAAGAGATTATTTCTTGTCTTGGTGCAAACTGGATGATTCAATTAAATAAAATTTTATATTTTTATTTAAATGAAAATATAAAATCAATTATACTAAAGATTCAGTTATGGGAGAAAATTCGAGTCTATCAACAATGTAATAGTTTTTTTTTTTCGTCATCTCAATATAAATGGTAATATTAGTATGAATTATTAATTTGTATAATCATTAATATAAAAATAACATTAATATATAATACCATGTTGAAAAATATAGTAAGACTAACAGGAAAAAAAAATGAGAGACTAGTTGAAATAAAATTTGTATTATTGATATAATGGTTATGTTCAGGAATGTATTTATAATAACTTATATATAAGTTGTGAACGAACTAATCTATAACTAACATTCTAGCTAATTTTAAATTTTTAACTAAATTTATCTAATATATTTATCAAGATTTATAGTTTCCATAAATTTAAAACGAGTAATGTGGTGATCTATTAAATGAGAGGACTTTTTTTTACACGATAGTTAAAAGAATAAATTTTGATCATTAATTATTATAATGAATAGTTTGAACATATAAATTATGTATATTTTTTAAAAAGTCAATATTTTAAGTGATTACAAGATTTTTATTTTTTTAATTTTAATTATGTGTATATGATTGTATGTTCTAGATTTGCTTTTCTCATTCTCATTAACAAAATTCTTTTTTTATATATCTAAATTATTAGTATTAATATTTTATTTTTTAGGTAATTTTTTAAACAAAAGTAATTTTAAAGATTTTTTTAATTTTAATTTTAAGTTTTTAACATGAATATATATAATCTTTAGGCACTAAATGTTGAACAATAGCATTTTAAGATGTCTTGTGATACGAGTGTTTTTTATGGTTGAATCTGAACATCTAAGTGATTTTATATATATATATATATATATTAGGCATTTATTTTTTAATTTAATATTAATAAAATTTTGAGTTTTTCATAAGTTTTGTATAATTTATAAGTGTTAGTTGTTAGAATTTTCTTTAATCTATTATGTAATTTTTATTATGCAATGACTATTATGAAATTAATTTTTTTCTTAGAGATTTTAAATTACGTTGCTCTCACAACATAATATATGATTCTCATACAATTAAGGGTTTAGAGAGCACTAACCTGAATCTATTATTTTTTTATGTTACCTCTCTCTTTGATATCGTTGATTCCTTGATATTTTTCCCTACTCTTCCTTCTTCTTTCAGCTCCTCTCGGATTGAGAAAAAGCTCTTTTCTTGGGTTTACCATAAGCTCACTCGGAGACGTGAAAGTGAAAGAATAGAAAATACTGTCACCTCTATTTAGTAACTGCTCTTTTATTTATATAAAGGGAGAGGGAAGGGTTTCCTTATAATTGTATTTACAATTACACCCTTAATGACTCTATATTTCATATTTAACCACCATCACATTAAATCATTAATGAGAGTCATGCTATAAGTTACATAGGCCACTGTAATAAGATTATTAAAATAATCTAACAATCTCTCACTTTGCCATGTGACGACTTGAAGATTTAATGAACTGTAAGTGTGCATATCATTGATAATATCAAGTCATCATCTTTTAATGATTTAAGTTGATTGGATCATGGAGGTCACAAGTCATTTGATGACATGATTCCTTCCAAGTATCACAGAACTAACTTAAATCAAAACAGCTTTAATCAGTCATACTACAGACTGTAACTCTGAATGTGTTTTTAACACTCAACCTGTTATCAAACTCAAACCATGCATGTACATTAATACAATTCAAATAACAAGTAAACAAACATAAACAATATTTTTATTGAATTCTCAAAATGTCTACAATAATATGAGCAAAACAATCTATACACATATATGTGAATCACACAATCATACTAACAAGGACTTGTCTATAATGCCCATTCTACCAACATGGCAAGAAAACATTTTAGAGGAAAATTCCTTAATTAGCGGATCCGCTATCATTAAATCAGTGCCAACATGCTCAATAGACACTTTTTGTTTCCGTACTTCTTCTTTCACTGATAAGTATTTTAAGTCCATATGCTTTGCTCCATTTGAATACTTATCATTCTTTGAGAAGAAGACTGCTGCGGAATTATTATTGTACATTCTTAGCGGCTTTTCTATATTATCAACAATACCAAGCCCTAAAACAAAGTTCCGCAGCCATAAAGCATGAATAGTGGCCTCAAAACACGCCACAAATTCCGCTTCCATGGTATACGTAGCAATAATGGACTTCTTTCCACTCTTCCATGAAATCGCACCTCCAGCCAACAAGAAGATGTAGCCAAAGGTCGATTTCCTTGAGTCTACACATCCAGCATAGTCTGAATCCGAGTAGCCAACCACTTCCAGCTGACTAGATCTCTTATAAGTAAGCATGTAGTCCTTGGTGCCTTGTAAATACCTAAAGACTTTCTTTGCAGCCTTCCAGTGGTCCATTCCGGGATTACTTTGATATCGGCCTAACATTCTAACAGCAAAACTGATATCAGGCCGAGTACATGTTTGAGCATACATTAAACTCTCGACCGCTGATGCATAGGGAATAGATTCTATTGCTTTCTACTCTAATTCATTCTTGGGATATTGCATTTCACTAAACTTGTCTTCCTTTTGAATTGGAACCACCCCTGATGAGCACTTTTCCATTTTGAATCTCTCTAATACTTTATTGATGTAGCCTTTCTGAGACAATCCCAGTAATCCTTGTGGTTTATTATGGAATATTTCTATTCCAATCACATAGGAAGCCTCACCCATATCTTTCATCTCAAAGTTCTTAGAGAGAAACTCCTTTACATCATGCAGCAGTCCAACATCATTAGTAGCAAGAAGAATGTCATCAACATACAGGACTAAAATGATGAACTTGCTCCCACTGACCTTCATATAGATACACCGGTCAACGGTGTTTTCTACAAAACCATATGACGTGATGGTATCATTGAACTTAAGATACCATTATCTAGAAGCCTGTTTCAACTCATATATTGATTTATTTAACTTACACACCATACTTTCTTTACATGCAGTCATGAAGCCATCTGACTGATCCATATAAACTTCCTCTTCCAAGTCACCATTCAGAAAAACAATCTTTACATTCATTTGGTGGAGCTCTAAGTCATAATGAGTCACCAAAGTCATAACAATTCTTAAAGAGTCCTTCTTTGAAACTGGAGAAAAGGTCTCTTTATAGTTTATGCCATTCTTTTGAGTGTATCATTTAGCAACAAGTCTAGACTTGTATCTCTCAACGTTACCTTTTGAGTCACGTTTGGTCTTAAAGACTTACTTGCAACCGACTCGTTTTGAACCTTCAGGCAACTCGACTAGATCTCATACCTTGTTGTTACTCATTAATTTTAACTCTTCTTTCATGGCATTCAACCACTTTTTAGAATTGTAACATTTCATGGCTTGCTTAAATGAAACTAAATCCTCATCAATACTCAAGTCACATTCATGCTCAAGTGATTAAACCACATAG